CCAGGGAGGGCCCTGCACTTGGATTTTTAATAGTGAATCAAGTGAGGAATAGGAAAAGATAGGAATGTTTGCTGTGTTCAGCAGGCATAATCTGATTCAACATATACATGCACTTAGTATGTTTTCAAATAACCTCATGAGAAAGAGAATATAATTCCATTGTATAGATGAAAAAATTTAGTCTTAGAAGTGACCCAAAGACACACAGCTAGTAAAATGATAAAACCAGTTTTGAATAAAACCCTGTTACTCTTCTTGTCAGTGCTCTTTTGTCTCCAGATATGATTGCTCTCAAAGCCAGGTATTGCCATACCCTCAGAGGAAGTATATAGATTTTTAATATTTTTGCAAATGAAAATAATTAGCCATTATGAAGCTTTATCGACTACTCTACTCTAGATGGCTCTATCCTCCCTCTGATTCACCTGGTGTTTTGAGGCGTGACTGTCTAAATTATCTCCTGGGCTATTTTCTACTCAGTTAATTCAGATGAGTTAATAGAGAATGCTGGTCTGGGAAATGAATTCTTAATAATTAGAGGTAAAGTACAAACGAGGCAGTCAGTCTGCTAGTTACAGCACCAGCTGGGGTGAGTTGTGCCTTCTCACCATGTTGCCAGCGTTGTGGCTTACTGCCTGGCATATAAGTATTCAAAACATACTTAACTGACACATTATGGCCCTAGCTCTTTTCTATACTTATGTTCTAACCTCATCCACGAGCAGCTAGAACTTGATATTCCAGTGGGTATGATGAGATATGAAAGTCCTTTCGGAAATGGTCGAGGTGAGTATATAATGGTGTGCAGGCATCAGCAGGTGGCACACACAGTCAGTTCATTTGTAGATGAGGCATCATAGTGTCTCTCTTTATAGGGTGTGGTATGTCTTGGGAGGTTAGTGTGGCCAGGCGCTGGCCACACCTACTAGATCAGCTATCAAGTGGCAATACCAACTATCAAGAGAAGGCTCAGTCACAGAGTTACTTTATTGCAGTGTTTAATCCCATTATTCCTTTGGTTCAGACTCTTTCTAATTACTGTTTATACTTGAAATACGAAAATTTCACATTTCCTTAGAAAAGGAAATATATTTTGGAATCTTTCAATATTTGAATTTTTTATTATAGCTACTTCCATGGTACAAAAATTATAGCCAGTACTACTAACAGCTTACTCTGTGCCTGGTATTGTCAATATTTGAGAACTTTGTTTATTGACTCATTTCATCCTCCTGTCTTCTGGAGTGAGAATTAGTATTGGCCCCATTTTATAGTTAAGGAGAGAATATGGGGGTTAATTAGCTTGACCGAGGTCATGTGTTTAGTAAGTAGCGAAAATTGAACCCAAGCAATTATTGCTAGAACCTGTGCTTGCTTCCAAGCTAAATCAGTAGCCAGATTCAGTATTACTACTGATTACTGAAAGGGTTTTCATGTATGTTTAAGAAAATCTGTCCCTATTTTCTAACACTCCTTCTAAAAGGTTTAAATTTTGCTTTTCAAATTTGGACATAGTCTGTCTGGAGTGTGGTGTAGTAATCTAATTTTATGTTGTTATATATGGATAACCTAATATGCCAACACAGCCTGTTGGAAAAAAGAGCCATTTTTTTTTTTAGTTGGTGCATTCATAATTCACTGCTAAGGCCATTTCCATGCTATGTATTCAAGCCTTTAGGGAGCTCTTCACAGCACGAAAGGTACTGAGAGTATTCACAGCCTCCTCCCATAACAGTTCAACACATTTCTTTGCACTTGCTCTCTGCCCTCTTTCTATTTTTTTCTCTTTATCTCTCCAGCCCTCTTCCACTTTCTCCCCATCCTTTCTCGCTCCTTCCTTTTTTAAGGATAGTGCCAGCCAAAATGGGAGGAGTTGCTGAGTGATGCCGTGATTCACAGCCTCAGGTGTTAAACTACATTCCTGCTGCGGCTGTGGGTTAGTTTTCCTTGGAGGCTAAAGACAGAGGGCTCTGTCTCTGTGGGCATGTTGGTGATGCCAGTGGGCGCCATGCACAGAAAGGACATGGTATGGTCCCAAACAACCCAGGTAGGGCAGAAGTCAGTTGAAAGACATGCTGGCTTATTTCTTTAGTTGTGTAGGGAAACAGCATCACATCTAAACTGTGATGATTTGTAAATAATTATAGTGAAATTTTGCAGTGGTTTTTCTCAGTTTTTTTTTTTTTTTTAATATTTTACTTATTTATGCTTACAGAACTGGAGTGCAAGCCAGAGGTACGGGGCGGTGAGAGGCTTCACCAGAGACAGAGTGGGGAGCAGAACAGGCAGATCAACGAAGCACAATGCTGAGGGGTGCAGCGGGCGGGTCAGGAGAGGTCTGCCACGCCATGTGGATCACCCCCGGGGCAGGTGGGGATCGAACTTGCTCAGAAGCAGCTGTGCCAGCTTGCGGTGCTGCATCCTAACCCATTGCGCCACCAGGGAGGGCCTGGTTTTTCTCAGTTTTATAGATGTAATCAAACCTTGATTCTAGCTACTACATGTCTTTTCACCAGTAGGACCAGTTTTATCCTCCCAGAGTAAAGGTTACATTTATTTTCCATATTTACACTTCTTCAGACAACAGATTGCTTGTAAATTGATGCTTACCTTAACAATAAAGCTAGGCCTGTAAAACTAGACCATAAAAAAGCTGGTGGTCTTAGGTTTAGTGATATTTTATATTTGCTTTTTTTAATACAGTAGTGTATTTTTATGCTATCAAAAAGAAATGTAAAATCAGGATTGTATTACATATTATTGTAGTTATGGGGTCTGAAAACCCATTAAGCACAAAAATCATGCAATAGATACCCTGTGCAATCTAAGGCACACACAAGAATGGGTTTCTAGGAGCACCTGTTGTATTACAACTCCTGGCAACTTGCTTATCTGCAAGCCTGGATTATCTTCTCTCTTGCTGCCTTCACTCTGCCATGTCACTGGTTGTCAGATTACACCTAAGAATGAATGGGGCTGATGGAAAAGTGAAATAAAATCATTGTGCTAGTTCTTTCTTTTTTAAGATTTCATTTATTTTTACATGGAAGAACTAGGGCATACAGAGGTGGGGTGAGGGTACTGAGAAGACAGTTCACCACCAGAGACAAAGTGGAGAGCAGAACAGGCAACTGATTGAAGTACACTGTCGGGCAAGACTGGAGAGGTCTGCTGTGCCATGTGGGTCAGCTGCCTGGCGGGGGCTGGAACTGCTGCAGTGCTGCAGTGGCTGTGGACAGCCTTATCATAGTGCTGAGGCTAACCCCTTGCACCATCAGGGAGGCCCCATGGTGCCAGTTCTTAAGAACATTTTATTTTGCTTATCTAGATGGAAAATAATAATTGTCTTTCATTCACACCAGTAGTAATATATTGAATCTAGCAATATACTAAATGTGTTTTAGAGTTAGAGATAATTCCTGCTCAGACATCAAACTGAAGAGATACAACCAAGGTAGAAAAAAAGAAATGCATCTCTAGACTGACGAGTTAATTATCAGCATTTCATGAATATTTTGCATGGTGTATATTGTCATCACAAAAATGCAATTTAACTTCTTAAAGGATGAGGGTAACCTATGTACAGTTCTTTCTAAGAAATTGCTCCTAGTGACAGATGAGGATTGTGCACCAAGGAAAGGTTATGAACTCCATCTCCAAGTTGATGAACCTGTCATTTGGCCCTCATACTGGAAATTCCTAATTCTCTGAGGTGGTTCTTTTTCCCTTATTGCATGGGCCCACTCTCCCTCCCTACCTCAAGCCACTGTCCTAAAGTGTCCCCCTCCCCCCCAACTTTACCCCCCACCCTCCTTGGAGTTAAGAAACCTGACTTCCCTGGCTAACTGCCTTGAGGTGGGACCTAAGCTTCTGGATCTCTTACCTACAACTCCTTTGAACTGCTGCTCCCCATAGGAAGGATAGACCATGTGTGTTTAGGAGTTTTTTGCCTAATAAAGACCATTACTGAGTATAACTCAAAAAACATAGCTCTGGAATGCCTGAACTTAGTTGTTGACTTGTTTAACTATTTAACTCTTCCTGTCCCTGAGTATTTTTACCTTTGCTGAGTCTGTCACATTTATTTGGGATTTTAACTCTCAGGAGTGTAAAACATTTACCCTTGCCAGTTTTAGCAGGCAAGTTTTCCAATTCTTACCATCACCCTTCTCCTACAGCCAATTAAGTGTACCTGTTAGTAAAATAGAGAGAATAAGTCCATCATCCTGGACATGATTTGAATAAAAAGACTGATAAAAAGTTGGATTTTTATACTATCTGGTAAGATACCTCAACATTTTTGGAGAACCATAATCTGAAAGTGAGGGTTGAAATTAGAGTATCTGAATATTGAAATGACCTTTCATATAATTAAATTGAAATACAGAGGTGCCTTATTTTACATAGATATGCTTCTAAACAAAAATATGTATGAAGAATGTGAATTTATGCTTAAACACTACTAGAGGAGCTTTATCATTTGAAGAAACACTGTAACGGCTCTCTAGCAGGGCTTCCTAGTGGCTTGGTGGTTAAGCCTCAATGCTACCATGCGACAGCTCAGCCCACCTCCGGGGATGAGCTCGAGTTGGATCCCAGCCAGGGAACTAACCCACAGGATACACCACACCTCTCCTGTTTTGCCTTTTCTGCTCCCCGTTTTGTCTCTGGTGATACCTCTCACCCCCACCTCTGGCCTACACCCCAGTTCTTCTACACAAAATAAATAAGAAGTCTTATCTTTAAAAAAAAAAAAAAACTGACAAAGAATAACACTACTTTACACCTTGTGCAAATCTTTTTTTATCTGTTGTATGAGGATATGTATACTTATATGAGGACATAGTGTCTAAGAGGAAGACAGGACACGTTACAGAACAGGGGGAGTTACCTGTGTTGAGTCCAAGGCAGCTAAATTTTCAGTACGTTTGTGCCTATTGATTCTGGAGAGGTTGTCCTGTCGGGCTCCTTTTAACATCTGCTTCTTCCTTTTGTACTAGATTGAGCGGTTGGAAATAAGTAACCTCGCCCAGCCGTCCAGTGCAGTGGCCTCTAGCACTGATGGCAGCATCCACACAGACTCTGTGGATGGGACACCAGATCCTCAGCGCACAAAGGCTGCTATTGCTCATCTGCAGCAAAAGATCCTAAAGCTCACAGAACAGATCAAGATTGCACAGACAGCTCGGGATGACAACGTTGCTGAGTATTTGAAGCTCGCCAACAGCGCAGACAAGCAGCAGGCTGCCCGCATCAAGCAGGTCTTTGAGAAGAAGAACCAGAAATCTGCCCAAACCATCCAACAACTGCAAAAGAAGCTTGAGCACTACCACAGGAAGCTCCGAGAGGTGGAACAGAATGGAATACCCCGGCAGCCAAAGGACGTCTTCAGGGACATGCACCAGGGTCTGAAGGATGTGGGAGCAAAAGTGACTGGCTTCAGTGAAGGTGTGGTGGACAGTGTCAAAGGTGGACTTTCCAGCTTCTCCCAGGCAACCCATTCAGCAGCAGGGGCTGTGGTTTCAAAGCCCAGAGAGATTGCCTCACTAATTCGGAATAAATTTGGCAGTGCAGATAACATCCCTAATCTGAAAGACTCTTTAGAGGACGGGCAAGTGGATGATGGTGGGAAGACCTTGGGGGTGATTTCAAACTTTCAGTCAAGCCCAAAATATGGTAGTGAGGAAGATTGTTCTAGTGCCACTTCAGGCTCAGTGGGAGCCAATAGTACTACCGGAGGCATTGCTGTAGGAGCATCTAGCTCCAAAACAAACACTCTAGACATGCAGAGCTCAGGATTTGATGCACTACTACATGAGATCCAGGAGATCCGGGAAACCCAGGCCAGATTAGAGGAATCCTTTGAGACCCTCAAGGAACATTATCAGAGGGACTATTCGTTAATAATGCAGGCCTTACAGGAAGAGCGGTATAGGTAAGTTATGTGAAGTTAAAATCCTAAGTTATTTATGTCTGAAGTTCCCCTCCCTTTGAATTAGAGGGAATTGTTTTAAAGATCTTTGGGTTTTTTTTTTGTTTTTTTTTTTTAAGATCTTTGTAAAGTACTTTTCTGTGAAGTATCCAGAGCATTTTAAATATGTTTCATGCCATCTACACGAGATTCTGATCATTGAGAACAAAAGAGAGGCATGTAATGGTAAATGCCTCCAAATTTACACACTAAGGAAGCACTTTAGTTCAGAGGGTGAAGATTTACAGGTAGTTCGCTCTCACTTTTCTAAGTCTTCATTTCAAATGAAGCTCAAGCTCTAAGTAAAACATTCCACTTTTTATAACCACAGAACCACAAATTGTTGTACACTATTGCTATATGTCGGAGGCCCTTTGTTCCCCGATCACGGATTATTGGGGGGGCAGAACAGTCAGGGTCTCAAGATGGGACCGGCGTAGGTGAGCTGAGCGGAGATTCCTAAAAAAGGAGAAAGGGGAGTGAGGAAGACACGGGAACCAGAGTGGGTGCAAGTCTTCCTGCTCTGCTCTTAGCAGAAGTTTATTTTATGCATTAGGAGCAAGCAGTGGGATGACATCAGCACATGAACTGGACTGAGAGATCACAGTCATCTTTTTTCTAAGAAGAGTTTGGGGTCGTATTGCCCTTTAGCTAAGATATAACATTCATTATTCTTAAAATCAATCTATTAAAGTTAAGATAGGTACATAAACTTATAAAATTTAAGGCTAACATTGTTATATTTACTACAGTGTTGGTTGGCTAAAATAAAGTCCCTTTAAACCTTAAGTGCTATTTAATGATCTTCATTCTCATTGAGACATCCTAGAGGATAAAGTCAAAGTCGAGGACTAGAGTGGAGGCTGGGCTGGAGATGTGAGGTCAAGGAGAAGTTGTGAAAGGGGGTAAAGGAAGGTCGAAGACTAGGCTGGAGGAGTTTTCTGGTAGATAAATCACTAAGGGAGATAGTTAAGATTCCTCATTTAAAGACTGAGCAATAAAAGCTTAAATAAGAGAGTAGAATGATAAGAATTTGGTTCTGTTCCAGGTAGTAAAAGAACTTTAATTATTTTTTAGCATGTTCTTACAAATTGTTTTTATTAATCAGCCAGTTGTAATATTATTTTTTGCTTTCTAGAGGAATTTCCTGTGTTGGGCAGTGCTTGCTCACCTGAGCCAGGCAGCGCCTTATGAGGCTAAGGCATTCTGGTTGTAAGCTGATGGTTGCTTAGAATATTTTGATATTACAAAAAAGGGAGGTCATAACATAAGTTAGTGTGGAAATTCTGATTTTTCAGAGCACTTTCGTCTCTATCCGGAATATGTCAGTCAATAGAGATTGCATAGCTTGTGTCAGCTCTACTTCATTGGATTGTAAAGATCTGTAATCCTGGTAACTAGAAATCAGACAGAGTTCAGCCAGAATGATGAATAATGAGCACTGTAGATTTTTGGCCATCCACATGCTTCCCTGGGTAGTTGGTGTACAAAGATGCGACTAGAAGTAAATTCGGATAAACATGTCTGTTACTTCTGTTGTTATGGATTAGCTGATTTATGAATGGGGTGGGCTTAAGCATGCTGTGATTTTGTAGTGGTCAGAGAATTCTCAAAGGGGTAAGTGCTTTGAGTCATAAACTGAACTAAAGCTAGAGGCTGGTCTTTTTTGTGTGTATTTCACATTATGCTCAATATTAGACCACTCTTAGTTGTTTTCCCTTGTCTGTCCTTTCCTCTTGTCCTATTCCTCTCCTACATGCGGAGAGAAATAACACCTTCCAGGAGTGCTCATCCAGGCTAGATTTCGTCAGCCAATAAGGACCTCCTAAGACTGGTGCTGAGTTAGTTGGATCTTGAAAGAACTGGGTTCTGGCCCTGAGAGAGCCCTCAATACTCTTTTATGATTGATTTTAAGCATTGAACAAACCATCCTTAAGAGCTTTCACCTTTTTTTTTTTTAACTGTAATTTCAGTCTCAAAGTTCCTCCCTAAATCATTATAACTGACAAGGAACTTTAGATACCTAAATCTGCTTTGAGCTTAACTATGTAAAAGCAAAAAGCTTTAAACATAGTAAGATTTTTTTTTAAGTAAATTATGCCATATTTTGACAGGTGAAGTCCTCCCCTCCAAGCCCCACTCCCACTAAAAGTACTAAAACACATGTAGCTCTTGTGGTAGGATAACAATCTCAGACATGATTACTTCCCTTGAAAAAGTGTTTCAGCTACTGTATTAGGTGACACCCTCCTAGATCAGAGATAAGCCAGGGCTCTTTTCCTCAAATTCCTCAGGAGTGAGAAACGTGAATATGTAAGCTGGGAGCGCTTCACCTAATGCCTCACTCTGGGTGTGGCTCGGAAGTTCAGAGCCATCTGAGGCCAGCAGAGGCGCTTCCCTAGTTGTATGTAGAGCATGCCGCTCAGACCGGGGTGGCCAAAGAATCTAGAAGAGCAAGTATGGAGAAACAGGAAGAACTGGGTCCCAGGACTGATGCCAATAGGCAGCTGTGAGCGCACACCACTTTATTATTCCTCAGACCCTTGGCCATGTGTGGCCAGGACAGAGAAGCATAGCTGTGTGGTAGGATCTTGAGAAGATTATGAGCTGAATTGGGGAACATTCATTTTCCCACCTACCTTGTTACCTCATTTGTGTTGAAGGAAGAGAGACTAGGAAACACAAACTAGTTTTCAGCTGAAAAGGAGAAAGCACAATATCAGTCTCCCCAAAACTTTCAGTGTGTGGGCAGTACATTATTTTGAAGGCAAGAAAGAGCAAGAGACTCAAGTATGTAAGGGAACAAATAAAATCTTAAGAGCTGCTCTCTGCAATTTGGAGACCTGCTAATTCTAGTTCTCCAGCACACCTCACACCTCAGGTCATACTGCTGTCTTCCAAATATTTTGTATCATTTACTAATCTCAACCACCTTAACAATAGTTGTCACTGCTTTGTTTTATAGAAGAGGAAACAGAATCAGATGAGTCAGGTCACATAGCTAATTAGTGTCAAAACTGGCAAGCAAATTTGGGCTTTTCCAATCTCATTTATGAAGTTATTAATTTCTTTCTCTTCCCTCTTCCTTCTTCCCGCCTCCCCCCTCCCCTCCCACTCCTCCTCCTACTTCTTCAGTGGATAATTTGAAAGAGCACATCTGTGAATCTCTTTATTGAAGGGCTCTACTTTCATAAGAATACCTCTTAATTGGGCTTTTTTTCTGTGACAAAGAACTAATTTGACCCAATATCCTCAGTTTCTGTTTCAAACTTAACTATCCAGAGCTAGTCTATATTCCTCTGAAAACAAACAGGCCTAACACCTGGAATTAAGAGTCTAAAATTGCTATATAATCCTCCTTGGCTTATGATGGGTGTATGCCCGTTACAAATTGAGAGTATTGGAAATCAAAAATGTATTTCATACACTTAGACTCCTGAATACCATAACTTAGCTTGGCCTTCATAAACACTCTCAGAACACTTCCATTTGTCTCCAGTTGGGTAAAATCATCTAGCACAATGCCACTTTATATAACAAAGTGTTGACTATCTCCTGTAATCTCTTGAACACTGTACTGTCAGTGAAAAGCAGTAAAGCCTGTTGGGTCTCATCACCATACAAATACCATATTGGCGGTTTGTCCTGTGGCCATGCGACTGGCCAGGAGCAGGCGCCCCCTGTCACCGGCTCCATGAACCGGATCATACAGCACCCCGCCTGGGAAAGATCCGAATTTGAAATCTGCAGCTCAGTTTCTTCTGAAAGCATATTGCTTTCCCACCATTGTTACATCAAACTGGTCTGTCAAAAGTGAGTGGCAGTGTGTTTCTGACCAGCTCTCTCATCTTCTGTCCAGAGATAGTCAAGTCATGTTGAAGCAGATCACTTGTTCAGTTAGAGCTTTAAGTGGGCTGTGCTGTCTTGACTGTTAGCCTACTTATTGCCATTCTTCTGCCTGGGAGGACTATTCACAGGGACTGCCCTGTCTGTATTTTTGCTCGTATGACTCAGTGCAATTTAAAATATCCTGGACTTAATACAAATGTCTCAGAAGCTGATTTCCAAAGGACAGTAATCCCCTTAAAATAGAAGCTTTCTAAATGGCATCACTGCTCATCAACACCAAATGGTCTTTAGCGTGCCCTACATGACATTGTTTTAAAACAGGCAGTAGCTAAATGAGATTCTGAACCAGATCTCCCAAGAGGAAAAACTACAGAAGGAATCTGTGAAACGGCCCATGAGCATTTTCCTAGTCCTCCCCTATTTCCAAAGCATTTTGCACAGCGGAGCTTTCTCCATGGTAATTTATTAGTATAGTATGCCCACCGCAGGAATGGGACTTGTTACTGATTTTTCAGCAGCAAATTAAATATATGTTCAGCTGTTTTACTTTGCAGCCTGATAAGAGCCGTTTTACCCTCTGAGCCTTAGCACGCACATCTGCAGGAGGAGACTACCCTGGTCATCTGAGGGCTCTTCTACCCTGCAGTACTGAGGGGGCCCAGTTGCCACTAGCTAGCTAGCCTGTGCTCGTGCTTTACGGGATAACAAGCAGGACAAGAGTCATTTGAAGGCAGCACAGGTCCCATAACTTAAAAAAAAAAGTGTCTAAACCTTGGGCATCCCTAGTGGTGCAAGGGGCTAAGTCTCAGCACTGTGGGGCTCTTGGCAGCAACTGCAGCACAAATTCCATGCCCGGACAGGGAGTGACCCACATGGCTCAGCAGACCTCTGCTGTCTCCCCTCAGCTGTGTGTTCTATTCAGTCGGCCTTTTTCTTCTCCCTACTCTGTCTGTGGTGAATTCTCTCACCGCGCCCCCCTCCCACACCTCTGGCCTATACCCCAGCTCCCGTATGCATAAATAAAATAAATCTTTAAAAAATACTAAACCTTGCCTCCTACCTTCCCAAAATACATGATTTATCATATATATTTAAAGACTTATGGGAGAGGAGTA